ACAGACGGCACAGACGGCACAGACGGCACAGACAAACGACAGCACATGCGTTTTTGCCGGCGTGCGATTCAAGTACGAAGAGGAGAGTGGTGGTTGACCACTCTTGATGAACAACTGATATCACCTACTGACTTAACATAATATTAATCACTCTAGCAACATCAGCAGGAGCACTGTTTACAGAATCATCATTTCCTCGAGTTCAAGGACACAAGGCATATCTCAGAACAAGAACTATCTTGAACACTAACAGCGTTGGATGCGTATATTTTCAATATGTCATGCAAGGAAAAGAGATGGGAAAACTCTCCGTATACAAGGAAAGTTACGGTGGCAAAGAGAAAACACTGTTGTGGAGGAAGGCAGGGGAAGAAGAGCCTCCCATTAATATCGCCATTGCTCAGTTTCCAGTTCATAGTGAAGAGCCCTTTCAGGTAAAATACCCATTCCTCTTTGGTGTAATATCAGACCACGCGTCATTCTCTTGAGAATAGAGAGAGTAGAGAGAGTAGAGTAGAGRGAGTAGAGTAGAGAGAGTAGAGTAGAGAGTTCTTCCACGCAATAGACCAATAGAGGCTTTGCACCATCACGTGATGCAGCCATGACATGAGGCACAATACTAGCCTTTCTCTACTGGGAACAGCATTTTTTCTCATGTAAACCAGATTAGACCAGAAGCAATTTATTGTTCCTGCCTCTTGTTGTGGCTGCCATCATGTGATGGTGCAAAGCCTCTTTTCATCCTGAATGCCAGACCACGTCTCATTCCCTTTAGTATTATTATTTTTTACACGGGCATGCGCAGACGTATTTTTCTCGTGTCTCTTTTATCATAAATRAAAGTCGTTTCTGTTTACTTTAGATTCTGTTTGAAGGCGTCGTTGGACCTGGGTATTTGTCAGACATAGTTATATTGAATATTCACATTAATTCGTTCCTGCCAAACTGCGTAATAAGACCAAATACAGCATACCTACCTAGAARAAAAGGTAAAATTATATGTATATTTGACCCTTTGACCCTTTGACCCTTTATAGATATATATGCAAGTATATCAAAAGTATATAAAAAATATGGGTTATCCTCCTTTTTAGAAAGCCCTAGGTGATAGACAGCTCGAAAACAATCTTCAAAAACACTCTTCAAAAACTGCAAACTATGAACAAGTTGGGCAAATTATTCAAACTTTAGTTACACTGAAGAAATAGAAAGCGCGCTCGCTTGCTGTGTGCGGTTATAAATCACGCGTAGCGGAGTGCCTTCAAACAGCACAGCAAGCAAGTTTTTTATTTCTTTTATAAAATACAAATTACAATAACCGTTATTTTAGATAGGAGTGACGGAACACGCGCTCCCAACCAATCAGAACACGAGACTTATTACAGTTATTCTATAAAATGCTATAAAATGACCCTTTAAAAAGCCTGAATGAACTATGCTGAAGTAGGTCTTTTATCAGGGACCGACACGTCTAATCATAAACATGAAAAAGTCAGAGAAAACAACTGAATATATCCATAAACATGACTTTTGACTGCAATTTCAAGATATCGAGTTTTTAAACCGCGTTTTCCAGAGCGTTCTAATTAATTCTGATATCAATGGTATCTTCTCAGAATCACTGTTCGGAATTTCTCTTTTCTTTTTCTAGAATTAGTTTCCAGCATTATTGGACACGTGACAACAGTTACGTCATCTCTTGAGGGCTGGTTATCYCATGTGGGATGGGGTGAGCGGTACTGGAGACCATGCTACAGCAGTCAGAAAGATGGATGGAACGCTACTGTGTTTCATACCAACTGCGATAATGTAGGGCCAACCGTTACAGTGGTTAGAGCATTTAATCATGTCTTTGGAGGCTTCACCGATCAGTCCTGGGACAGTAAGTAAAATCGTTTGCATGGGTCTTGCCTCTATTGTCATTCTCGATTGGTTTGTTGGCGTTGAAAATGCATGGGATTAAAGGCCAAAAATAARAAGGCTTTTAGTATTTTTATACTGCTTCTTCTACATCTGTGCACAGCGAGGAGTAAGGGTAGCATGGGTGGCTTAAGCTGCTAACGCGTCGTCTTTCGCCCCGTAGTTCCAAAGGCTCGGGTCACCTGCAGATGTGTCGTTCTCTCCTATGCCACAAGGATTTCCTCCGAGTTTTTTCTTCAATGAATGTTTTAGAATTATTCTGTTATAAAGACATTCAGTGCATGTAGACAGCCAACAAACCAATGTACCATCTCTTGGCTATAGCTGTTCT